CTGTGGGGTCGGGCGCCGGACGTCCACTAAATCCGACTCCTCGACGGTCACAATGTTGTGACGGATTTCAGTGATTGGTTGACGACATTGCGGACACTCCCGGCGCTCACGCGTCGAGTCCTGCAAACACTTCAGACAAAACTCGTGACCACAAGAGGAGTCTGTTTTGGCTCTGTTTGTGATCTTCTGTCTGCATATAAAGCACTTGTCTTTGCTCTCAACCACTTCCTCGTCGACCACTTCGGATGACTCTTCAGATGATTGTGTGGTCTCTGTCTCTGCGCTCCGGGGTATCGACGGACCTGTCGTTTGAGTACTGGTTGTCTCGACCCCGACATCGACACCGGTCTTCGACTTCTGATCCAACGCCGAAGAGATGCTGTGTTTTGTGTCTTTGCTTTTGTCGCTGTCTTCGATGTCTTTTCGATTATCTTCACTCATATCTGATATACTCGTGAGGAATGGAGTCTCAGGCAGACTGTGAGATAACTCTGACTTCTGTGACACTAATCATAAAGTTTTGGAACTTTTTCACAACTTTTCAATTATTGTTGAAAATTGGTTTTAATTCTAAAGAAAATTCGTGAAAATATCGCAAATATTGTTAAAAAAAAAAGTTTTCAATACTTTTAGAATTCATTTCAAACACAAATCTGTTATTGCATTGAATTATGTATTGAATGTAATGTTTGTGCCTTTCATTGACTAATTATTTCTCAATTCAATGATTATTTGAGGGGTGGATCCGATGGACACAAGTAGTGATCAAACATGAAGTGAATGCAAACTCTTATGAATTTTGTTTTACTTATGATTCAAAAAATTTATTTGATTAGTGAATACATGAAAATCATATGCAATGAGTAATTGATATAAAAGTCATTATCTTCTCGTGTCCTCGGAATCTGATGATTATTATGATAATCACTACTCATTAAAAAATTTGTATAAAAAATTAATTAAATATTTCATACAATATATAATAAAATCTAAACCAATGATATACAGTATAACTCACTGTATTTGTATTAACCCCGATAAATTAAGTATTTGTAATGAGCGCTAATGTGTCAACGATTCCTGACATTCATTCATAAAAATGATTGAAATTCTGGGAAAGTGTTGGGAATATAGAGATAAGACTATAAGCACTGAATGCTAAGCGATAGTGAAAACACTGGGAATATGACAGTGAGTGTTAAGTTGACTCAACCCTACAGTGAATCACATGTTTTGAGAGTTAGTAAACACTTTGCATTGAAATGTGTTTTGTTTGCCATCAATGATACCATTCATGGATAGTATGTCTTAAGACACCAGTGTTTTATTCCTCCACAAGTATTGACACACACACACAATGTCCGACAGAATAGCCATGTCTTCGGGGATATCACTGCCACCGCTGCCATCGATGCCACCCATCACTACAGACACCGCGACATCCAATGGCCTCTTGAGCTCCAATCGGATCCAATTGGCGCTTATGATTGGCACACCTCTCGTGTTGGGAACCGGTCTTTGCGTTTATTACTATTACCACAACAGAGATAACAAGAGGACTAACTCCAAGAAAATAGCCGATAATGAGACCGATTCTGCAGTTAGTATCACATAATTGAATCTCACAAACAAAGCTCACCTTGTTCATAATTGTTATCACAAAACATTAATCATTAAGTTATGAGTTTTTATTTTTATACCTTGATAAGTTCAGCGATGATTATGTTAATGTGATAACAGTTTTCAGTCACGTTTACCATTTTGATGACATCGAGGGTTGCATTACTTGAGACACTGTCTTAAAGTGTAGATTAATTTGTCTCTTATTATCAGATATCATAGAAATTGACGTTAAAATGGTATAACAATCCATTCCTCCCGACCCTATCATCCCTTTTTGAGACAATTGTCGTTGAATTTTGTGATTATTAATAGTTTTATTGAATGAATGTTAGGATCCGTTCAAGAGAGCCATGCATTTGAAGACATTGGGTAACAAACACTTCAAAGACTTGAAGTACACGGAAGCCATCGATTGCTACACGAAAGCCATCAATGAGTGCCCGACGGATAAGATGGAAGACCTCTCGACTTTCTACCAGAACAGAGCCGCCAGTTATGAGATGCTGAAGAAGTATAGAGAAGTGGTGGACGACTGCGATAAAGCCATTCAACTCAACAATCGTTACGTCAAAGCGTTGGTCCGCAGAGCGAAAGGTATGCATCGATTGTGCACTGAATTTGAGGCCTAAACTCACCATTGCTTCGACACAGCACTGGAATCATTAGGTGACACAACGAGCGCTTTGTTTAACATAACGGCGGTCTGTATTCTGGAGCAGTTCCAGAATCAGACCAATCTCTTGACTACCGATCGCCTACTCCGAGAGCAAAGCAAAGTGAAGGCCAAAGCACTGTTTAAGAGCCGAACCCCGCGCCTGCCGTCCGAGCACTTCATATCACACTACTTCATGTCCTATTCAAACGATCCGATTCTCAAGAGTTGTGATCCGAAAGATATTGTCAATCATTTGGAAACTCTGCGGCAAAAGCAGACCCAATCGTACCAAACATTGCAAGAATTCCTTCTCCTCAATGGTAAGTGATTTTTGATGACATTTCGTGTGAAAATCAAGTGATTCTATGATCTCTTGTTTTTTTAGGAACCATTGAGATATTGAAGGGAAACATCGAAAGCGGCGAAAAGGAGTTGGAAAAAGTGATTGCGTTAAGCGATTGCGGCACTGATGTCAAAGTGAATGCATTGATTAAATTGGGAACAATTAAAGTGCAAGAGATTGGACGCGAAGACAGCTTTAATACAGCGCTCGAGTGCTTCGACAGAGCAGTGAAATTGGATGAGAAAAATCCAGACATTTATCTCCATAGAGCACAGGTATGTATGAGACATGAAATATGAGATTAAAAATATGAGACTTTTGTTGATTTGCTATTATTTTAACGATTTATAGATTTATTTACTGTCGGAACGGGTGGAGGAGGCCTACAAAGACTTAGAGCTTTGCTGTCAATTGAATGATAAGTTTGCGTCGGCTTTCGCTCAGAAACTATACGTTCAGTTCAGATGTGGCATCAGATATAATGACGAGTCAACAGTGAATAAAGCACTCAAAGGTTTGTTTTGTATATTATTTGGCGTAAAATACATAATTAACGGCAATTGAAATGCTATTTATTTCTTAAAGGTTTTGAGTCCGCGATTAAAAGGTTTAACGAATCGAGTGAACTGTTCTCACTGTACGCTCAGGTAATGTGACTCTATTTCGTGATCATAATAATGAATAATTAAAACATTGATTGCTTATTGTTTATGTGAACTCATTTGGATGGCAGGCACTGATGGAAAGGGGAGACTTCACTAAAGCCGAGGAATACTTCACCAAAGCTATCGAAAAGGATCCGCTGGACGGCAACCTATACGTCCACAAAGGCATCCTATACTTGAACTCTAGTAATGATGTCGACAAAGCCGTCAAATTATTAGGTATTTCACGGTTTTGTAGTTTAAATACTAGACTATAAATGTGTGATTTGTTCGCAGAGGAGGCCAAGGATGCGGACCCCAGCTGTCAGTTTGCGTACGAAATGTTGGGTAGTATTCAAGTCCAGAAGGGCTTTCTGGCCGACGGTATCGACCACTTCGACAAAGCGCTGGATTTGGCGCAAACAGAGCTGGACTGCGCGCACCTGTACTCTCTGAGGGACGCCGCCGAAGCTCAGGAAAAAGCGACCAAAATGTTGGGAATAGAGTTACCAACCGTTTAGCTGACATCGCGTGTAATGCTCCCAATCATTGTAATCCACTTTATATAACGATTTAAGATAATGACCAAAAAGATTGTATTTTCGATCAATAGATTAGTCTTTATTTTAATAAATATTTGGTTTTTTATTAATTAGTAAGAGATTTGAGATATATTTGACTAATCGAGAAGTAAATTCAATTTACGAGACACTCATTACTGGAGTTATACTCAAAACTGCTAAATGTTTTGAGTTAAAACGACTGAAAAATTTACATTAAATTAATTGAACACAAGTTTATATTTGACTAATCGAGAAGTAAATTCAATTTACGAGACACTCATTACTGGAGTTATACTCAAAACTGCTAAATGTTTTGAGTTAAAACGACTGAAAAATTTACATTAAATTAATTGAACACAAGTTTAAACATAACTGATAACCATATTTTGAACTTGTTTATAACAGCAGCAAAAATTGTATTTTCAAATCTAATTCTTTTGTAAGAATATAAAAATGTATAAATCATTTCATAAAATAGTAAAAATAATATTCCAAACACTTTATTAAAATTTCTTTAATAATTAAGTCGGAAATGAATTCAGAGACAACTTTATGTTTATCACAATATTTTAATATTTTTTGTAACAAAACATTTATTTAACACTTTTATATATACATTACATATTAAATTAAATATTAAATTCCAATTGAATGATAAGAAACGTTAATTGAAAGTAGATTTCACTCACATCTTAACCACGAATACACTTTCACTTTGTCTATAGTCGTAAAGTTATAAACTTTTTATATATTGTCTAACTATTCAGGAAGACTTTGAAATCTTAAAATTATATTTGAATTATTCAAAATCACAGTCAGTTCACTACATACTACAGTATTTGTATAATCAATTCCTATGGATCATGATCTCAGGTCTGAGTGTCAGCTCTTTCAGCCCCGTTCGGAGCGCTGGGGTCCGGACCTCTCGAGTCGTTGATTTGAATAGTATTCGTGTCCTTCAGATACGTCGGGTTTTCAAAGGAGACACCTCTCGACGGATTCGTTTTGGTTATGAAATGGTATTTATAATAATAAATAAGAGCTGTTATTCCCATTAGGATTAACACAATGCCTATTGTTATGCCTAACAGTACTTTCAGCAGTTTATTGCCTAATGATGTGGAGTGGGCTGAAGAGCCTCTTAACGTCACCACAAGAGGATCCGTGAAGACGCTGAGTCCGTAATGATTGCCAGACTTGACCACAAACTCGTACATCTTATCCGGTTCTAGATTTCTGAGTTCAAACGACGGCGTCTCCGTCTGATTCCTCATTAGATCCCGCGAACCGACCGGTCTGTCCATCGGAATAGATATTTGTATCAAAAATGTTTGTCACAATTCAATCAATACATACCTCCAGAAGACTCGATACCATTGAACTAACTCTGAATTCTTTTCCGGAGGCGTCCACTCGATTCGGACGGTGCTGTCGCCGATGAACTCCTCGACGCGGACGTTGATGGGAGGGCCGGGCAATAGGGCTCTGCCCTCTTGGAAACACGATATGATTTCCCGCGAAGACGACAGAATGCAAAGCGAAGGTATACTGACTCGAAGGCCGGCACACCACCGAAGACAGCCGTTGGGAACTTGACGTCTGCGACAGCACTGTCTGTGATCGCTTCCATCTACAGGTGCCGTTCAATACGAGCTTTAAATACGACTAAATTGAATTAAATATAGAGGACATACCGGCCGCACAACTCATGAGTTTATCCAATTCACTGAAACATTCGGGTCTCGAGAGCGCTGTTTCGATGTCTATATCTATTGAACAAACGCTCAGACATTGTTCACTGACTCCCTGTTCCACACAACAACCTATTCGTACAAATTCATTAAGTTTTGTAATTAAGTAATACTAAAATAAGTAAATAAGTAAATAATAGCTTAAGATTTGCAATCACTTACTCGTTGTATTCTTGGGCTGAACTGATTCCGGTGTCACCGATAGTGTTAACGTTGTGACAGCTTTTCCAAAGTCATTCTCTGTTGTGCACCTGTAGTATAGAAAAGAATATTCTGTTATAACTACAGTATTTGTATAAAATGTTTTTATTTTAAGCAAATTTTATTGTATGCTTACATATAATTTCCATCGTCTGATTTTGCGGTTGATTTAATCAAAAGTGTGAAAACATAAGTCATTTGTATCTATAGGTAGAATACAATAATTAGTAAATCCTTAGAAAAGTCCAGTTATTTTGGGAAAAAATAATTACCGGTACTATCAGACTTACCTCTGAATGTGGAACCGTAATAAAGTTTATATTTTCGTTTGCGTGCAATTGAACGATATCTGTATTATTTTGTTTGTACCAGTACACTCGTGGTTGAGGCTAATATTATGATAATTTTAACATTAATTAGTAAAATGGACTAAAATTGATAGCAATCGAGACATACATTTGCCGAAATTGTGCAAAATAGTCGAGCCGTGCCTCCAATGGGGGCCGAACTCAATGGTGGGTTTCCCACAGTCGTTGGTTTAACTAAATTATGAAAAATCGTTAAATTAAATACATTACCGATAATATGTTTGGACATACATCTAACGTAGACATCTAAAACACTTTGTGCGGAGTGGACTTCCTTTCCCTCGCCATTGACGGCGTAACAGGAAATGGATGACAAGTTTCGGTTGACATTAGTTAAAGTGAACGCTAAATGTCTTGAGTCTTGTTTGGCTACTAATAATCCATTGATGAATAGGGAAGTAGTCGGGACGGGAGTGCCCATCGCTATACACATGACTGTAATGTTAGTTCCCTCGACTATAGGACCGGCCGGTACTATGAGAGGCATCTGTAAGGCGGTGGGTATAGGCGGGTCAGTCCAGACCAGAATAATCTCCGATGAGGTACTCGTTTCGTTGCGGTCGGACAGGGACTGAACGGCCAGCGCGTACTCCGTGTTATACGTCAGGTTTGTTAAGTAGACTGAGGTATAGGACGTGTAAAGACTAAACCAGTTTTCTTTGGACGGATTCGAGGCGACAGCCGTTCCGTTGATGGCCTTATAGTAGACAATATAGTTGACGGCGGAATCGATGGGCACGTAGAGAGGGGGCGACCATTTGAATGTAATGGTGTCCACCGTTTGGTGTATNGACGGATTCGAGGCGACAGCCGTTCCGTTGATGGCCTTATAGTAGACAATATAGTTGACGGCGGAATCGATGGGCACGTAGAGAGGGGGCGACCATTTGAATGTAATGGTGTCCACCGTTTGGTGTATGAGTTCCAGCGAATGCGGTGGACCTAACTTGGCGTGAATTGTGGTCTTCTGGTCGGACTCGTTGTCTTCCATCGTCTTCACCAGCAATACGAGCGACGGAAGCGATACTCCGTAGAGATTGTGAGCCGTTATGTATACACTGTAGTGAGTGTTGGGATCGAGACCTTCAACGATGGCTTTGGTTTGCGACGAGTTTTTGCTGTTCGTGTGCTCTAACGGATGCAATGGTATGGAGTTATCGGTCTTCCCATACCTCACTTGGTATGTCACATGAGAGGCGTCCACGTCCTCTAAGGCGGGCTTCCACTGCAAGTGTACACTGTTTTTGGTGATGACAGTGGCGTGCAATCCGATGGGCATTCCCGGCAATAGTCCGGTGCCCTCTTCCATGCACTGCAAGATTTTGCCGAAATGTTGTGAACAACGAGTGGCCACTACTAGCGAAGAGGTGTCCACAATACCGGCGCATACATTGAGACACTCGGCGCTCACATCCCTGCGCCGACAACAGGGCACGTGGTTTCTGCCACCCGTTCCGCACCTGACTAGAGTTGACAACGAGTTCACACAAGTGGACGACAAATTGAAGACATCCGCCACTTTGACTTTGTATGAACACAACGGCATACACTTCTTGGGAAGCGCTGCCCTAACACAACACGCCGTCTCATTGTATCCAAAGTTGGATTCTTCTAATTCTCGTTCATCTGGTGTCGAGATTCTTGGCGTCGAGAACACCACCCGAGGGGAGCCCTCACTCACACCGTACTGATTGACAGCCGAAACAAACGCTTCGTAAGCTATAGGCCCAGAATCCAATAGCTACTCTACTCCCCTTGCCCACGACTGCAGCTAAACCATCTACAAACCGCTTAGTGACGGACAAAGGGACTTCACCTGCATTATAAACCACTGTCACACCCGGTACTTCTTCGGGGGTTTCCACTTAATTATAGCCCAATTGTGGTGAACATGGGTTACGCGAAACTCTTGCGGTTCACTTGACAGCACTTTATGGTGCGATAGAATACAATTCGTGTATGTCTTCAATGCACACCAAATTAACAGTTAATTAGGGCTTAAACTATAAGTTTTTTCATTAAAAATATATTAATACTAACCGACATGTGGTCCAGACATACAAAGTGTCGGAAATCTAGAAATAAAATGAGATACATTTAGACTAAATCTATTCGATATCAGTCTTAAGAATAATATATTTGTCACCAATTCTTTTGACATTCCCTTTGCATAGAGACAGACAAACGGGTGAAACACCTCTTTGTTCGCAACAACTCGAGTGGTCAGTCCATCCGTCTTCAGTGGTCTCGAGTGCCATGCATTTGAACGTAACATTGGCCCTGTCGTGTCAGCCCAACATATTATTCATTGATTCTTATAGGAATACCACTAAACCTACCAGGGTGCACATATCATTAGGTCGGACAGACTGGCCGTATCTGCTTTCGTTGGGTCGCATAACGTGTTGAGACAACGATCCAAAACCACTCCATTATCTTCGCAGCATTTCCTAATATTCGGGAGTTTGGGATCATTTTTGGTAGACTTCGGTATTTTCTGCGAATCCGATTCCGGGGATAATGTGAGCGCTCGGATCGGGTTTGTGGGCAAACTATCGCCAAACTTATTAATGGCTGTCACCTGTATTTCATACATCGTAAAGGTTTTCAAGTCTTTAACCGTGTATTCACTAAGCGATCCGTTTACAGCGAAAGACATTTGTGTGCTATTAGTTGGTCGCGAGTTGTCTTTCATACTTAAATTATTAATTTTCTTGTTGTCCACTAAATCGTCAAATGTATGCAATTGTGTGACATTTATTTGATAGGAATCCGTTTGTGCGTCCTTTGGATTGTCGGACTTAAACCACTTAATCCTGAGTTGAGTCGTGGAAATGGGTTCAACAAACACGTCCTCCGGTTGTGGCGGAAGCGTTTCGATACCCTCAGCGATACAGGCGAGCACAGGGGCCGCGTAGTCCATACACGTGTAGTGATCACTGACAGTATCCAAGGTGAAATTGCCGACACATACACCTTCACAGGGTTTGGGAATATGCTGGCGCTGACAGCACTTGAGATTATTTCTGCCGCCGTTCAGACACTTTGTGATACTCGGCAGGTGTGGCAGACATGAGTGAACCGTTTGGTGCGGTATCTCGTTGTTGACGATTCCGCTCATCAAACAAAACGAATGACACAATTCTGGCACTTCCTCTTCGATACAACAGTCCGTGTAATTGTGGTTCACATCCGACAGAATGGCATCGGTTTTGTCATTCCCTGAGTCCGAGTCGATTACACTTAAAAGTCGTGCGATTTGTTGCTTAGGACTTGAATTTGTTTCGCACACATAAATGCCTGAATCCCTGGTTTTGGTGTTTTTGATGTTTAGCACCCAAACGTCGTGTTCTATACGTTAAACACAACATTTGATACATTGTTTCCATACTAATAGTACAGAATATGGAATATTACCTGGATGGTGGAGTACCGAAAAGCGTGTGTCACTCGTAATGATTAGATTGCCGGCAGATATTATGTCAGCTTTTTGTGAATCAGTGCCGGCGCTCATGAATTTAAACAGAATCGTATAATTCTGTAAATTCTGGACTTTGCAGTCAATGAAAGCCTCTTCGCCGGCAAACACGAGCACCGCTTCTTGTGATGTCTCATTCAGATTAGGAATGCCTTTAAAGGTATTATTATATGGGTGTAAATGTAATGAATATTCAAAATATGGTATTTTTATCCGATTTTCAATTTATTGATAATGTGTTTTGCAATTTTAAAGTGAGGTTAATACACGAATTAATATTCACATGATTTTTATTACTTTTATTTTAAAAATAACAGATAAAATAATCAATGAGTTTATGACTTTTACGAATAAAATCTGATATAAAAATAAAATTATTTTTTCTTATTTTCTACTAGCTTTAAATTAACATGCAAAAAAGAGTTCATTCAATTTTTAAAAATAAATATCGCAAAGATTTTCACTCATTTAAATTTACTATCAAATTCAATAATTAATTAACTTTTTTATTTGAATGAATTAAAAGTTTGTTTTTATTTTTATACTCGTTTTGAGTGTGAATTTAATCGATCACATCATCCTTACACCTGAACTAGAGTTGCGGTTCAAACCCAAAACCACTTTTGATTTTATTTTGATATTAAAATTAATTATTTTCAGTGAAATATTTCACAAATATTGTGTCTAAAGGCTATGCATTTATTGAGAACATTTTTTTACTTGTAAATTATACTTATATTACTTAAATTATTAAACTTAATTGCATTGCTATTTAGACTTTAAACTTGAATAAGTTTTAAACTAAATTGCATTTAATAGTCATAAATACATTTGCATGAAAGTTTCATTTAAATAATGCTTAAAATTAAACATTTTATAGCCATTAATATGGAAACGAGAATATATTTAATTAATGTTAGAGCTATATGTCGACTGATAACCATTTGTAAGGATTGCAAAAACATACTAAACATCTATAACAAGAAAATACTGTAATCAGTGATTACAGAGAGAAATCAGCGAAAAAATAACTGGAGCGTAAAAAATGAGCAAACAATTATTATTATTAAATCCTTTAACTAAACTATTGACAGAAAAGAAAAGTTTATTTAATTATTGACTAGTTGTTAAGTGCTGTAACGTTAGTGAAAGTGTGGCAAACAGTTTGATAGGGTTGTGTGTGTGTGTAGTAATGTTTGACAGGTTTTACTCGGCGTTAAACTCGAAACACCGATAAAAAGGCGAAAAACTTTGACCTAATATTCAAGCCGTAAAAGCAATTCAATGTCACATACCTTTCACTCTCAGGCAAAACGATATTAATATTATTAGACATGAGATCACATTTGGTCCTAACATTGTGTGTATGCGCTTGTCTTCGGGTAGTATTTGGGTCTCGCTTTCGGTGTTTGAAATGAATAGCGAAGAAAACTTCACAAAGAATTTCAGAGATGTGTTGTCCTTGAGTTCAGTTGTCTTCCAATTAATTCAGTGGAGAAGTATCTGAAACAAAGAGATGTCAATAGGGAGAGAGAGAGAGAGAGAGAGAGAGAGAGAGAGAGAGTCAGGCCTTGGATTCACATCTAATGTAGTAAAAACTTATTGCTAATTATTAATTGAAAATTTTTATAAAACTAACGTTAAATAAAATAAGTATTATTAAATGAAAGTACAGTTAAATTTGATTGAAATTCTTTCTGAATAACACTTCCAATTGAGTCGTTTTAAACAATATATTTTTTATGTCTATTGAAATTGCGAGTAAATGGAAATGCACTTTTAAATGAATATTTATTATGAAGTCCCAATACATCTCTTTTATTAAATGGTTTATGACTTTAAAATGCATATAAACTAGAAATCAATTCATTCATCAAATGATATGATTTGTTAGAAAACTGAATGAATAATGAAATGATATTGTAAAAAATAAATTCCAAAGTATGTATTCATTAAAATTATTTTTAAGTTATTATAAGATCATGTAATCGAAAACTTTTCATAACTAGTTATTATAAAATCAAGTTTAGTTTGCAAATATTTTGTTATTATTATAATTCACTTTTCATTAAGCAGTGGTAATATATTAAAACGATTCAAACAAACGATAAATTAATTATGAATTATGTAAAACAACGGAAAGACATTAATATATAAAACTTATATGAAAGTATAGTACTGTATATGAAACACAATTAAGATTACAATAATTGATGAATCATTATCAGAAAACAAAGTTTATCTGCGAAAAAACAATTTTTAAATAATCAAAACAATTCTTTGACCCGTTTTTGACGTAATGTAAGAAAAAAACGAAATCTTAGAAAATTTTTATTTGTCACTCGAAGTCAAAAATTAATGTGTTGTACCATAAAAACACAGATTTTTTGAGCGAAAAAACATATTACAGTTAACTAACTATACGATTGATGTGAGAGAAGTTGTTGTAGTGTTAAGGCAATCATAAAAATATTTATTTAATGCCGAGATTAACAAGACATTATGTGTACGAGAAAACTAATTATCGACTGAATGACACAATTGTATAGAAAGTGTACATACTTTGCAAATACTGTGCGAGACACCACTCAACGACATAATACAATCGCTGCTGAAACACACATTACATTACATAACTTTGGCAGTCAATCCTTATTATGAAAGTTATCTTAATTTATTAGTCGAGAACACAGCGAATGTCATAATATTTTTTGAGTTCTACTTATTAGAGAGAAAAAAGTTCCGGATTTAAACGTCTATTATAACGAAAGTTATGCTTCACTCGCGACAACCAAATGTGTCAATTGAATACAGATTTGGCACACCTTTCAGGTCTTTCGACAGTAAGTGGTGGTAACGAAACAAAAGTCATAAATAATAATTAATATTAATTTTTGAACTTAATTATCGAAAATAGAGAGTGTGTTGCGAATAAACTATACAATAAAGCAAAACTTATTTTGGACACCAATTGAAAGTGAAAGTATGTTTCCATTAACTGATTGATTGCATAACTTTTGCCAATAATTAGCTTGTGATTCATAAAAGCGGTCATAAAAGTGAGAGTAATAAGAAAAACATAATGAAAACCAATTGAAAACAAATGAAAAGCCAATGAAAAGGCAATCGGGAGATAGGCTTAAAATCTTACCGTGAATTTAATGGCTCGACTCAGTTATGCAACATTTAGGCTCTTATAACAAAACGTGACTTTGATTTGAAAGCATACAATCGATCGATTGGTTTTGCATAACAATAGACACCACTATGATTATTAACAAACTTTTATTGCCAGCACTTTTCCATGCAATCCATCGCTTCTCGACGCAAATGAAGTCAAGAATAAGTTTATGAGTTATGAGTGAATACTTTGCAGAGGAGTGTAAACATAAACACTAAGAGAAACCGATTCGCAAAGACTTAGAGTCTGACTAAATAGTGATTGTTTTTTATGGCAATTGGATAACCGGTTTGTTGTGTGCACTTGTGGTGCAATGCCGTTCAGATTCACTCCATGCGAGCCATCAGTCGCTACAAAGACGTACAATTCGTGCAGTAAGACATCGAGAGCCACACAGACCTATAAATACTACCTTTCCTTTCACTCTATAACGAGGAAAGCTTTATTTTAATCACTGCCCTTGAAATCACTTTCTCTCAACTACTTTATGTCTCGCAATCTTCCAGTGTATCTACTTTCCATACCCGTCCCCCTCCACCATCGCCACTACCTTTCGTCAAAGTCTTCGTCGTCTTCTTCATCGGTCTCTCTCTCTCTCCCTCTCTCTCTCCCTCTCTCTCTCTCTCTCGTAATTATTCATTTCATGCACTCAACGAATATTAATATATCGAGTGTTCGCTGATCTTGTCTTCTATGAGCTCTACCCTCAAAGTCAATGATAACTAATTGAAGAAGACTTTAATATCAATGAAATAAAATCCAAATAAAGATTATATGAAAACAAAAATTGTTTTTTTAAAAAAAACGCTAATAAAATATTTATGATTTGACCCAAAATAGTAGAATATTCCTCAGCTGTCGAGAATGTATAAATGAAAAACCAATTTAATTACAAAATAAATATTTAGTTGCATTGAAGGAGTTTTAGAGATCACATGAGAAGTGACATCCAAAGTCAACATTAGAGTTGAGTTCAGAGAGAGTGAGAAAAATATATTGTAATACTCGTTAGGTTTCATCTTCGAGGGTACACAACGACCCAGATATCGAAAACACATATCAATAATGCTATACCTGTGCCTCAATACCTGCAAACCCCGACTCCCAATACTAGTGTTAATAATAAATATTAATTTCTAAAATACAAGATGTTTGCGAGCAATAAATAAAAGTCACAAATAATTTTTACTTAAAATTCTAAAACTAAAATATGAAAAGTTAATTTTTGTTACGTTTAATGCAATAGTTGTGAAAAAATTAAGAAATTTACACAAACCTTATAACCGAAGATGAAAAATGGGAAAAGTAAACAAAATTACATAATCTTTACACAAATTAACTCGGATTTTAAATTAAAATAAACAAATTTTGGTGAAAATATTTGTTATATATACAAAAGTCTTAATGAAACACACAATTCACGATAAAATGTATAATCAAAATGTTGACTTTTACTGTAGTTTAGAGGGAAAGAGTTTGAGCGTATAATATAATAGTTATGCGGCACAGGTATTGTTTGCACAGGTATTGTACGGGGCAAGTGAACTGTGAAACATATTCCGGTCAAATTAATGCCTTATTGTTCCTAATATTTATATTTATAATATTATTTAATACATTAAATAATCCAATTTCTATGGTATGTATAACATATAATGGATTTCAACTTTTTATCAGTTTAATAATAGTATACATTTTTGTCTACTTTTGTTTTGTAGAAAACTTTTAAACTACAATTTAGATTATAATTAAATTAAAATAATTATATATTTTAATAGGGGAAATATATTTGGTAAAATAGCTAAATAATAAAAATAAATTATTAGTTTATCCTTCCATTGCCTCCCGGAGCCAATTCACAGTGAATTCAAACGTATGTTTAGCTTAACATTGGATGAGTTACGATCATCTCATGTAAAATCACAAATAGTTTATATTTAATTCCTAAAAAAATAAATTTTTGAATTTATAATTTGATTACAATCTGTCATTAATGCTAATATTTTACTACTGTATACAAAACCTATCGATAGATACTTCTCATCCCTTAACAGCGTTTAGCCCACAAAGCCTTGAATTATTGCTATCTTTTATGATTTTCTTCGAAATCCTTATTATTATACAGTATTATACACGTTATGAATGAAAAAAATAGGCGCAAAAGGACTGGTATTTTGAGTTCACACAAAAAACTATTTAATTTCATGTTAAGAATATTGATTGAAATGTGAAGTAATATCAATCATCAAAAAGTAAAGCAAATCCAAAAATGATTGGCCCACGAGTTGGGCGCAAATAATAAGCAATAATTATGTTCAGGTACAAAAAATAGTATACATTTATTATATATTCTTTATTATAAGCCTCTAATTAAACGCTTATAAATTGAAGGCCAGGTATGAGAGAAAGGTTTCTCAAGAAAGTATAAAGAAAACAGAGAAATGACATAACATTTCATTTTCAATTTGATCACAAATTAAAAGTAAACTTTTCAATACATTTCAAGCATTTTAATGCACTTAAGTCTTTAGATTTATGAGCTGAGTAGTTTTTAATTGAATTTATAAGCGCAAAGTTAACCGCAATTTATCTGTAAAATGCAACTCAAAAACACATTTTTATATTTTTGTTTACTTGGTTTATAAATATTTTAGTTTTTTAAGTGAATTTTATTTATATTCTCGTTTCCCAATGAAAAGTTTTCGCAAAAACTATGTTATTATTAACAATATATCGTAACTACTCTATTAAATAAAATAATAAATCATTTTTCAATTCAAATAATGTCTTCAATTTATCCTTTAAAATGTGATTTCAATTCCGAGATTTTAAGATTAGATAATTTGCACAAAGTTTTGAAATCTCTTAAAATGATCACAATTTTAATGCACGTTATGTAGAGTTTTGCGATAATAAGTCACAAAACTTGGTATAAAAAACACTTTTAAATACTTTTTACGATTTGAAATTCAATGAAATCATTATCAATGAATTAAACAAAAAAATTTATTAATAGCTAAATGTGTTTGAGATGTCATCAAAAG